TGCGCTTTGAGCTAGCATACTCCACTCAGTTTGCACATGATTAGACCTGCCAAGATACTTAATTTCTGTAGGATGTCATTCCACATGCTACCTTCTTCCTAACAGTGGCAAATCCATTGGCTTTAAGTTAACCCTCTTGTATCAGGAAGCTTTTCTTATGACAGAATCGTAATGTAAATGATGCAAGAAGTTTACGGAGTATCTCAAGGAGAAACTTGCTCCTTTGGCACAGATAGGGACGGCTTCTTAGGTCCATTAAAGCAACCTGATTTTAGGGAGAAAAAGGGACTAAAGAGCAAATAATGAGATGGAAATAAGAGCAAATGAGCTTTTTACTGGTGCAGATTTGTACTGTTTTTGTAAGTCTATGTCTGCTAACACCCACAGCAATGATACTATTTTTGTAACTGCCACTTTGCACCCAGCAAAATTTGATGGATTTGTGTAATCTAATAGGTGCGCTTAGATCTTAAGATGTGTGTCATTGTGCATAAATTACCACTGTAGAGTTGTACAGCTTTAACTGAAAATGAAATTTGGTTTGTCATATTTAGTAGTCGAAAGAAAAAGCAACAAAAAATCTGTCCCTAGCACTGATGTTTTGCACTTTTTTAGCATCTGACAGTCTCAGAGCACTTCATGCACATTTATATTTGCATGGGTTTGTAAATCTACTTCCTCAGTCTTTACTGAAGTAAAAAATAGTCCCTAAGTAGTATGACACAGGGTTTCACAGTTGCAAAATCACAAAATTTAGGTCTGACTTCAAGGTTTTGTGCTTACCCAGGAGCGTAACTTATTTCAGCAAAATATCAGAATTTGGTAGCATGCTCATAGGAATTTCTGCTACCTAATTAGTTCCAGTATTTTTTAATGAAACAAAGATGGATTTTTCCCCCCTCTTCTTCCCCTTTCTTTCCCCATATAACTTAATTTGCTTTGACAAATAATGTATTAAGGAAAAGTTTAAACTCTTGTGAAAGTTAACCTCTGTGTTCAAAGAAGCAAAGGTCTCTGAATTACAGAAAAGGTGATAACATGACAAGCTTTTCTGATGCAGTTCCCTTGAAGATAGTGTTATAATTACTATATTGGCTAGGCTTACTAAAAGAATAATGGTATTAATTGCATTTTTACTTTCCTGTGATGACTTTCATACCACATGTCTCCAGTTTACAAGCCAAAAATCGTAAGTGAGAATCAAACTGTGTTGTTTCTGCTTCTGATATACTTCTCACTAGATATGGGTTTTGCAAGTAGCTCTGGTAGGCAGGTATGTTGGTTGGAGAAGGTCAGGATATTTCATCTTCCGCACCTGATTTTGCTCTGCAGTGCAAGCCAGTCTGTCTTCTACCTGTATTATCACGAGGCTATATAGATATCCACAGCAGTCCACAGCCACATAGTATGTCAGCTTAAGAAAGCATTAACCAAACACAGAAGGCATTTCTCTGGCAGCTCTGGGCTGTGAGCAAAGCCACCAAAAGCCTTCCTGTGCCTCGTACACCTCGCAGCTCACTAGTGCCCACCAGACCTTTTGAGATCCCAGTTTTCTCTACCTTCCCTAAAGCCCTGGAGGTATCTGCAGTAAAATGATGTTGCTGCATTTGACAGACGGGAAAGGTAAGAACAGGCCTGAGCTTCTTGGTTTTACCAGACAGGACAGTTGCAATGCCATTGTTGACTTAGATGGGTAAATGGCCCAGAAGAAAAATGGTGAGGATCAGCTTTTGGCTTCCTTAAAAGTAGAGGGTGAGCCTGGGACCAAGACAGGATGTCCAACTCCCAACTCTCTTTCTTTTCCTTCAGCAAAAAATGGAAGGGGGAATTAACGGAGTAAACCTTTAGATCTGACAATCACAGGACTAATTCCTTGGAGTATCAAGTGTCCCGAGGTACAGTGTGTAGGTGTGCTGCATCCCCGGCCAGTTGTGTGCTGCCTGATGTGGAGCTTGAACTCTCTAGACGGGAAGGGCTAACAGGAGGTGAGGTCTGGCACAGCTCCCTGTCACAGTCGTTTGTTTATTGTTTCAGTGGTTTTGTAGATGTTGATTCTCTTTCCTTCTGGGTTTTAAAGTGGTTATTCTGAGTTAAATATTTGATGCAAAAATGATTTACATTGCTATCAGCAGTAGTAGTAAATCCATACTGTGCATATCGCTGTTAAGTATTCAGCAGTGTTACTGCATGTCTTTAGAACTGTAGTTCCTTTTTCTGTAATCAGGCAGCTTTTACAGGTTTTTAATAAGACCTCTACCTTGACAGAGGTTTTAACTACAGTCCTAGGTAGAATGTTCAGGTAGAAAAATAAGTTCATTTAGTAATTTTCACAGCCCTTAAAATGCACTGGTAGGAGCCTGGAGGAGAGACCTTTCCCTTTCCCCCCAGACTTCGACTTAGTGTACACTGTAAAATCTGCACAGAGATTTCTGATGTGTGAAGATTTAATTTTAAAAATGTAGAACCAACAACTTTCTTTAAACATTTTATATTGTGTGCTGAATATTCATATGCCTTTTAAAGTCAGATATAGTCCACTGCATTTCTTGCTTTTGCACTACTGAAGAAGTTTTGTACTGAATAGTAGGAGTCAATGCTACTTACACTTCAAGTGTGAACCGATAAGATTTGAATAGAAAATATTTTCACAGTGTTAGTAAACTTCATTTTCCCTTCTGAAAAAAACAAAGCTGAGTGCAATGCCTGTGCCAAAACTCTTGTGCTGTAAACTGAATATATCATTTGTGTGGAACATGCAATGTTACACTTCTGTGTGGTAAAACCTTGCAGCGTCAGTTATTCTCTTTATTGCACTTGACATATGATGTCTTGTTTTATTCACACTGTGGATTTGATTTTCCAGTGTAAAACCAAAGCAAACAAACAGAAAGAAATCATGCAATGTATTCAATTTCCTCGATTGGTGTCATAAACTTTCTTTTGATGTGAACTTTTTCCTTTGCTTCTCTTTGTTCCAAACTTCTATTTTGCAATAAACATTTTGACAGTAAATTTTATGCATCTGTGTCCCTGTGTAAAATGCTGGTGTTTCAAGAGGTTCCTTATTGTCTATTGGTTTAAGTCACTTTTTGTATTACTCACTGTGTGACACTTCTTTATGCTCCCATCTTTAAAAAAAACAAACTGAAATAATGCAAACCTGGTTATATTAGATACAATACTGTTTATATTTAAACATGGGAAAAGCTGGAAAAATCTCTTATGCAACTGAAAATGCAGTATTTGACTTCTGCAGTAAATGATTCGGTTGCATAATTATTGTGCCAGGCTCCTCCCACAGCACCAGCTGGTTTGGCTATAAGTACGTACAAAAGGCACAACCCATTGCCTTGCTAAGGATGTTTACGATTGCCACTTTTCCTCCCCTGTGCTCAGGTGTTGCCCCAAGCACTACTTTTTCCCCACAGCGTCCTACCCAGGCTATGGGTAGCTGTTAGCATAGGGAATGCCTGACTAAGAGCAGGTAGGTTGAGAACATTGTCTGGAAGTGTAGTTTAGTAGAGAGAAAAAGTCAGGAAGGTCTCTTTTTCTGGCAGACACATCTTTCTTTCTGCCACTTCACCCTGATGCCTTTGGCTCTGCCACCTTTGGGGAAGCAGTGGGCAAAGGGATGGGTTTGAGGCCCCACTAAGTCCTCCTCACAGAGGTGGCTTCAGCTGGTTTCATGGATGGTTTGTGCCCAGCAAGGTGTGGCAGAGACATTGGTGGAGGAGGAGGATCTGATGAGTCCCTGAAGTGGGGTGGGTAGCAGTCACAAGTCCTTCAACAGGAGTTTCATGGGAATGACACAAAGGATGTTTCACAGCGATGGCTGGAAGTCGTGAGTGGATTACACTAAATGCTGGTCTCCTGCCTGGAGAGCCAGGGAAGTGCTCAGGCGCATGAGGGCAGCTCTGCCCTGGGCTCAGAGTCCAGCTGGAGGCAGGCAGGGGTGAGTGCCTGCCCAGGAAGATGCCTGGCGGGGGAGGGGGGGGGGGGCGCTGGAGAGCTCGTGGGTGTCTCTGGAGCAGGTAACAAGGCCTTGGGGGCTGGTGGGTAACTGAGCTGAGTCTCTTGCACGTCAGTGTTATGTACATCAAATAAGCTTGCAACGACATCATGGTATTGAGCCTTTGGGAGACACTGACAGTCCAAGTGCATACATGCCAGTTAATGTTAACCCTTTAACCACATAGAAACACCAAGAAGGTGATGCTTGGGATACCATATGCTTGAATGAGTATAATGGCAATCAGTATGGCAGTGACATCTTCTCCTATGTCAGTTTTCCAGTCACCCCAGAACTTCACTTAGCGCAGCCATGCTCCTGCACCTCCTCCGTGGTTTCCTTGTGCTTCAAGAGCTAACACCATCCTGCATACAACAAAGCGTGGCCTGTGCAGGCTGCAGCACAGGAGGAGGCTGGGAAGTGCTCCACTCCCCCAGCCTCAGGGGAGCAGTTGCGAAGCGCTGCCAGAAAGAGAGACTTGTTTGCACAGGAAGACTGGCCACAGCCGCCAGTCTCCAAATTCTGCCTCACTGCTGTCAAGTGACAGTTTTCGTTCCTTTTCCAGAGAATACCCATAATTTGGGAGAGTCTTGATCGCAGCACTATTTTAATTGCAGAAATTAGATGGTATCAAAGCCATAGCAAAAGCCTTCCCATAGGGCCAGAGCCAAGAGGAGAGGCAGGTAGAGAGTCCTTTGCCATCAGAGGGGTTACTTTTGCTTCCTAAATTGTTTCTATCATTGATCTATTAATATAATTTTATCTACCTTAAGTGTTGGGTTTAATTTAGCATGGCCACCGTGCTGTTGGAGCCAGCCTGGGGCCAGTGTGAATCCAAGGGTTTAGTACATCAGTGTGAGAGTTGCAGCCTGAAGTCCTGCCCATTGCAGGGGAAAAGGAACTGAATAAAATCAGCCACCAGAGTAAAATTTGGGTGAAGGGGAGAAAAATGGTCAGATGGTTTTCTTTTCAATTCGTATCTCTCACGCAGTTGCTGCCCTCCTTTGATATTTGTGCATGGACCGAAGAAGATGTGGTGAGTATTCTGTGTTAATGTGGCCAGCGTTGCGCTGCTGGAGCTTTCTAACAAATTGCAGTGGGTACGAAGGGAGGGAAGGCCGGATCAGAACATCCATGTGAGAGTTTGCTGCTATTTGTTTGGTGAACTTGTGTCACAGAAAGGCTTTAAAATGGCCGTGAGTAAATTAAGAACTCAAACGACCTCTATTAAACAGCTATATTCTCCAGCGTCCAGAATTAATGGGAGCTGGGAGCTGTCAGCAGCCAGGAGGCCATTCCTGAGCGGTCATTTAAGGAATGTGGAAGTGCCTCAAGACCTATATAAGCAAGACCTGTCCTAGACAAGACAAAATGGGTTTGAAGGTTTTATCCCACTGTGTGCCACCAGGATAGCAAATAACTGAAAGTTAAGGGGGTTTTAAGGTGTGTGGAATCTCTTATTTCATAAAAAATAATGACATTAAGTCTTTTTTTACCTTTTTATTCAGTTAAAAGACTAAACAAGAAACATGAATGACTTAGCTCCAGCATAGTGATTTGTCACAGTGATTTTAATGTCCCATCTAGCACCCTCCTTATGTGCTGCACATCACAGGGTTGTTTAGCTCCCATTTACTGAGGGACTGTGTGGAAAGCCAGTGCAAAAGCCGTAATAGCCCTGCCTCCTTAACTTCAGCCCCTTTGGCATGTGGCAGATCACTAAGCTGCTGTTTCAGTCATTTCTGTTGTTCTTCGTAATGATAAGCTGAAGAAGGTGGCTGCAAAATAGAAGCAGTTTTTAAAAGCTAAGTAAAAATAATTACTGGAATTGGTGGATCTTGAGTCTTTTAACCCAAAGGTAGAAGTGTTTTAAAATTTTATTTTAAAAAAGAGTGATTACTTGTGAACACCAAATGACTGTAATACACAATCACAATAATGTCAACTTCAAGACTGATTCCTCTTTTTTGCAGTTTTTCTGGATGCAACAACTTACAAGGAAAGGTAAAAGTACCTTCATATTCACATGTATGAATATATGTACATTTGCTTATCTTTTTCTCCCTCCAGTAAAGCACCCTATGGATTTCTGAATAACCTCTCTTATCTTAAGGAGATGCTTCTGGTGAAATGAGTGTATATGCTAGCTTGTTTAAGGAACATCATATCACTGGGAAACGATTGCTTCTTCTAGAAGAGGAGGATTTAAAGGACATGGGAATTGTTTCCAGAGGACACATCATCCATTTAAAGGTATTTAACAGCATATTTTGAATGTTGCATTAGGTTATAATGTGAATATTAAGAAAGGAGTCTATGAGGTTTTGGTAGTATTAACAACAAATAAAGTTATAAGTCTAAATAGAGAACATACGTGGTATAAAAAAAGCAATTACAGGTTTGTGTGGATCTAGAACCCAAAGCAATCTGAGCATTTTATGAGGTATGAAAATGTGATGTGGTCTTCATACTCCTCTGCAGTTCTTGGTTATCCTGTGTGCTGGACCATCCGTACTGCTGAAGATTTGCCTAGGAGGGCTATTCTCCTGGCAGAAAGCTTTGGGTATCTTCAGAGAGAGTTCTCCCCCACGATTTCTCTTTAGCTGAGCAAGGAGCAGATTTGAGAGCAGTTACTTGAACTGAAATCTCTGCACTTTCACAATTCATCTGTAGCTTAAAACATACTTTGATTAACAAAATGCCATTAGACAACTCTAAGGCTGTTTGACAGCCAGGTTGCATTGCTCTTAAAGCTTTGTTTAAGAGTGTTTTAAATATCTAATGTTTGTAATGAGTTAAGAAAATCATAGTCTGGAAAATGGAATCACAACAGCAGTAATAGTATGAATAGTGTAGCCACAGGAGAGAGTTCAGTTTCCTGGCTGTCAGCTTTGGAAAAGGATTTCTCTAAAAGCAGCATCTGTAATTCTGTTGGGTCTCAATGATTTTGTACCACAATTTACTAGTAAGAGATACTTGTATCCTAATTGCTAGTCCTGCAAATTTAGCTTCATAAATCACACAGATTTATTCCCCTTTTTCTCATCAGCCGTTTTTTCCATGCCACACACCATTACTGATATATTTAATTTACATTTCCTACAGGGAAAATTATTGAAACTTAATAAAGTCAATAATGCCCAAAATGAAAGATTTCAGCTTCCTGGGTTGATTGAGCGTAAATAAAAGCAACCAAAACAACCCCCCAAACATCCCTCTCTCTGATTAAGCGGATCTGATTCTGAATGCGAAATGGGGCCAATCTGCCACAACAGTTTCCAGAACACTGCTGTATTTTAAACTCTTCTCACATGCCCTAATGTATCCACAATGGAAAACACAGTGCATGCAGAGTTGTGCTGGTGTTCATGGTGTTCATATTTGCAGTATCAGGTACTGAATAACTCTCATCTGATTTTGTTGATTTCCTTTTTCGCTAGACTGCCATTGAGAAGTTAACCCATGACTACCTAAATCTGTTTCATTTTCCACCATTAATTAAGGCAAGTCTCATTGTTTATATAAGAAGTGCTTCTCGTGTTGGTATGAATATTTTACTGTTCTCATGTCTCAACTTCCCTACCATTCATGGGAGGGTGAAGCAGCAGTTCCTGCAGAGGGTTGTGGTAAATGTGGAGGGTCAACAGCAGTGATGGGTCACATCAGAACAAGTAATACGATAATATAAGTTGTTTTCAAGGAGGCTCTAAGATTTTATAATGGAACTGGTAGTATTAAATTGAAAGACTACTGGTTGCAATTCCTTTGCTATTATTAATCAGAAATAACTCTTAAGAGCCATTCCTCTGACTGGTGCCACCAACTGCTCCCCACCGAAGAACAGCAGACCCCTGGCCCAGAATGAGCACGCCATTCCTCAGTTTGCTAATGTTACAGGAGAGAAGGATGATTATACTGTCTGGTCACCCTTGTGTTAACCTGTTGGTTTTCTGATATCAGTAACAAGAGCCATGCAAAAGGGAGAGAGTGTTTGGGAACCTCGGGGTTGCCAGAGCAGATACTTGCCTGATTTAATCTGGTGAGTTAATCAAGCAATTCTAGACCCTGAGGTAGCTTTCTGAGTCATAATTTATTGCACAGCTATAGAGAGAAATCCACTTAAAGTGAATTTACATAGAGTGAAACTCTGTTCCCCAAAGGGGTAAATGAAAGTCAGAGCTTCGCTGCTGTGCTGGCTGCCATTCCAGTGGCAGTGGCTGCCACCACGTTCACAGCAGCACTGTGCCACACTGGAGCAGCTTGGCCAAGAGCAGAAATCATTCAGCATCTCCCAGGTGCCTTCCACTGCGTGCTGTAAACCCATGCAGAAGTCCTGGTCCCTCCTGGAACAGTGCGATCGGGGCAGAGTGATGGCTGCTCCCTGCCAGGCTTGCAGGATCTGAAAGGCAAATCCTTTCTGCCACCAGTGGCTTTTCTCCTGTATCCCAAGGGGTTGTGGTAGATGTGAAGTCTCACCTTGCCTCTTTTTGGCAGGATTCTGCAGGTGGAACTGAAGAAAACATAGAGAAAGTAGTGAATCTTGAACTCGTTTTTGGTTATCACTTGAAGCCAGGAAGTGGTCCAAAGGTAAGCTGGGAGTGCTGGCTCGGTTGGTTTGGTTAACAGTCACTACCCAGAGGGTCTAGTACCTTCTGGACACAAAAGTGTGTCCAGATAACTTGCTGTGAGAATCTTCTTGTTTTGGAAAGTACTTACAAATATCAAGGTGGAAAATGGGGCTACATCATTGATGGAGAACTGCACCCCAGAGCAGGTGAGGAAGAAAGGAGCGGCACAGAAAGCTTTCGTTTCCTCATGAATGGTTTTAACTGTAATTTTTGTAATTTGGGCTTTCACTTTTTTCCTTTTATCCGAACGGGTGTGAAATAACAATCCATTTATGCAAAAAAAACCCCATTGACACTTCAGCAGTGGCACACACCTGATGTTAGTGGGCAGACTTCTGTCTCGGCAGAAAGGTGCTATCTTTCCATGCAACCAAGAGGAGTTTGGAAAACACATGGTATGCGTGGCTGCTGGCTGGGGAGGATGGGGCTGGGCCTGGTGGTGACTCTGTTCACTCATGGTTCTGGGGAAGGAGGGAGGGGTAGGTGCAGCACATTGCAGATGGCAAAACTACTGTGCAGCGGCTGGTAAAAGGCAATTACCAGCATGTCACATCCTAATCAAACCTCAGCTCCAAGCCGAGCGGGTTCAAGGATCTCTTGTTACGCCCTGTGCGATGGGAACATTGACGACTCCAGATGTTCCAGCAAAGCATTTCCACCACGTTGTCTTTTCTTGAGAGTGAGGTTTGTCCCATGCTTTTTGTTTTCTTTATCCAGCCTGCTGTGGACTCCGAGTTCAAGGGTTTTAGAATTAATCATCTATGTGGAAATGGTGTGCAAAGCATTTCTGAGTTAGAGTCAGGGGGTTGTGACAGCAGGATTTGTTTCCTTTTGTATTTGACAAATCTGCATTATGTGTCCACCCTAAACTTGTGGGTGGCTGACTTTCATCTTGTCTTATCTGGCTGCTTTGCTTTCAGGGCATATTGTTTGCAGAAGTCTCTTGATTTCTGTACTTAGTGGTGCTTGCAGAGAAAGCATTTAGGTTTGTACTTAGTAGGAACTTGGACTCGTACTGAAATCATTTCATCAATTTGAAAAAGCTTTTTGCTTTTTGTCTGGAGATTTCCCTTTTTCATTTGTTTCTTTTATCCTAAGCACTTTTTTTTCCTATGAAAATCTTTATCACTGTGTGAATTACTTAGTCTGTCTCGGTGTTCTTGAATGCATGTAGCTTATGATGCTGTACAGCTGCTTTTTTGTAGGTGTGCATCTTTCTCCCCTGTGCAACTCTTCAAGGAATTAAAAGTCCATGAAATAGCTCGTATCTCCCTTCCATTTCCAATATGGGTTGTGAGCTGTGGTGCAGGGAAGTAGGCAGCCTCCCCCAGGAAAGAGCAAGAGAAGGAGTGAAGAGACCTCCGAGTGTTGGAGAGAAATTCAGGTAGCACTAATACCTACTAAGTTTGAGGACAAGTGGATATTTTAGATGTGATGGCAAAACTTGCAAATGAGATGGTGTGAAAAAGTGTACGGGGAAGAAGCTGGATTGTTAGGAGAGGACGGGGCTAGTTCAGCAGTGCCAGCATAACCTTTGGAGGTTTCTGACATGCCAGCTGAGAGTGCTTTGTATTGGTTCTACCTTCCTGTGACCTCCTATTTGGTCCTCACTGCTCTGAGTGCTGTCAGGTCCCTTCCTAAGGAAGCCATTCCCTCCACAGCTGTGGTGCATGCCAGGCATGCCTTCCCTGGCATCCGCCCCACCGCAGGACCTGTGCTCCTGATGCCATTCCAGGGAATGAGCAGTTTGTCACCTGAGTTTGTCTGGGCTGGAAGCTTCTGTCCGAGATCTGCTTATTATTAACTCATACCTGCCTTGACAGACATTGCAGCTAAGCCAGTTTTAAAAAGTGGACTGGAAGGAGTAGATTGACTGAGCTTTCAGGCAGGATGGTAGGGCCAGCATGAGCAAGGTATTTTGCATTAAACGTAACACTAACAAAGACCAGTGTGGTACATGTAACAAAAAATTTGGCTAGCTTGCTTCTTTGAAAATCCCTGGATACAATCTTCTAGCTCCCCTAGAGGCTGCTTTAAGCCAACTACTGCTGCCGTCCAGATTTGTTCCAAAATGAATTGGAGATACTGGGTAAACCAGGATTAAAGGGTTTAAACTTCTCTTACTGTCCCATTTTGTAAGAGTGGCGCTTGTTCTGTAAAACTGGGTCAGCAGAAGCATTTGGGATCATACCTTCCACCATCTTTATAGCTAAAAAGCTGGCCTACATCAGTTTAAAAATAAATTTCTCAAAGGAACTTTACCCTAATCAGCCCCTATAACTGGCTGCCTGGCTAAGAAGCATTTCTCGTGTTTTAGCCATGAGGAAAAAGAGGCAATAAGCACAAATCTGGGTTACTAGTTGAGAACATGTGTTCCCCAGGTGATATGTAGACTGCTAGACCTCTGTACATCAAGGGAGGCTATTAGACTCATCTGGGAGCTGGTGCAGTGCAGCCCAAGTGCTCTGTGCAGAGGAACAGGTTGTGCAGGGAGGTTTCACCCCAGGCTGGCTCTGTGCTAGTCTCCTGGGCTCAGTTCCCATTAGTTATTGTAGTGCATCTTTTGGAGTAGGTGCACCTGGAAGCAAGCCTGACATGCGCTCGGAGGGGCTCCGCCAGAGCATGGGACAGGACGGATACCTGGGACAAAAGCGCAGCTCCTGTTCCAAACTAAAGCTCTGGTGTGGGTGCAGCCTTGGCGTGCAGTGTGACATACTGCAGTGCCAGAGGGCATAAAAGCACTGGATGAGCTGCTCCAGGACCCAGGAACCATTTGAGGGTTCAGATTACTTCAGATGCATTTGGCTGGTCAGAGCACAGCATGGTCTCAGGTGTGAAGATGGTTCCTCAGGGCACAGGTGTCCTCTCCCTGGCACCACACCAAGCCCTGTCAGTACAGCCGGTGCTCCATCCTTATAGGCAGGCAGAAACATAAGGGCCTTTGGAATGGCAGTGCCTTTTAGCAAGGATCCTGATGAATATACTTCAGGATGGCATTTGAATATTCAGCCTTGTCCGTACACTGAATGAAACATGGACTTCCTAGTACACACCTTTACCAGCCTTCGATTTGTTACCTAATTTAAACTGCATCTTCTAGTGGGATTATGTTGGTTTCCACCAGGTGACAGATGCAGACTTTTCATTACTGTTGCCTTCCCTTTTTGCTGCATCTTTGGAGGTGATAAAAGCTCAGTTGACCTTTCTGCCCTCCGAATGCATCAGGAGTGAGCACTGCAAAGCTAATCTGGTTTTTAGAGGTTTCTTTCCAACTCTTGTAGTTCGAGTTATGTGGTTACTTCCATTCACTTCCTTTTAATGACCTTTCTGTACACAATTCCCACTGAGCTGAAAGGTGATAAGATTTAGACATTGTATATGAATTTCTTCCACAAACTGAAAAAAAAAAGGGGGGGACACCAATTAACTCCAAGATACCAAAGAGGGTAAAAAAACAAACCCTGGCAATTGTGGCTTGAGCTGATTCGCAGAACTGCAGAGGGAATTTTCAATGGCTTTCTCATCCTAGGTGGCTCATTAAAATTTCCCAATCAGGGAAAGGTGTCTGAGCTGTGTCAGCTCCACACTGATGAATCACCCAACCTCTTAAGAAGGATGGTTCACAGTCTTTTTGTCTCCTGTTGATGCATTCTTTAGTTTTGGTCCTCAAAAGGGCAGATTTCACCATGCCTTTGAATGTTTTCAATTTTTACCGCGTGTGGCACAATCTGACCTATATCTGAACACAAAGCCTTGAAGTTGGCTCACCATTTTGCCTTATTTTCCCCCAGTTAACTCTTCCTCCATTTGACAAGGTAAGGAGCAGAGCCTCTTCAAAACCACCTGCTAACTGTGTGAACTATTTTCTAGCCTTGAATATCCAAACTGGGATATATTTTAATTCTATTATTTGAATGTATAGTGCAAAAGTGACTCTAATATTAAGCCTACTTTAGAGAGACATTGTGACCAACTCTACATGTGGAAAAACCTGGGCTGGCAAAATGGTGGCAGGACCAGACAAAATAGTACTGAAATAGTTGTTGTTGTAACTGGAATGCAATTCACAAGTGCTTTGAGACCATTTCTGCTGCTTCTTCCTCTCCACCCTTCTACTACATCAACGCTCATAAACCCTTTCTTTACTTTCTTAAAAATAATACATAGTTCAGACAGACGTGATGTAACAGTTTAATTTGCCATGTGAGGTACTCCTCACATTATGAATGTGGCAAAAAGTAAAGCAAGGGCCGAGGTCTAAAAGTGAAGATTCCAGTTTTATAGTTTTTCAGTTGTACATATTCCCCATGCACTGTAGGTATTTCAACCCACTTCAGTAAGCAAAGCTGGCAGAGGAATTGGATTTATCTGACCCTTCCTTTCCAAGATACTTGCAAGTACCTTGACTTTCTAAGGTGGGGTTATTTAACCTTGTCTCCAAACCTCATCTTCTAAAGCCTCTCTCTTTAATTACATCTCAAAGCACAATGCTTTTACTACTAAAGGCTAATAGTTAATGCAAGAATCAGAGTAGCTGTGCTTGTGTGCCATTTTCATAGATTTGCTCCTATTCTAATAAGTAATCAGTAAATTGGTGAATACTTTGTGAAGGGGAAAAAATCCACAAAAACCTAACCTGTAAAATAAAACAGCTGCGTTTGAATAAAACCAGCACCATTAAGAACTGGTAGGTATTAGAAGTTTAGTGCAGGTGATCTGAGCTCCTTGTATTTTCATTCGAAGAGGCTTTTCTGGATCATTTATTGTTTTTACATGAGGTGGAGCTGGTATAACTCCATTACCTCCACTGGGATTGCTCTAGCTGTAGCATCCATATGTAACTGAGGTCAAACTCAAACCAACACCTTTTACAATCCTTGTGTAAGCAGCGCTGAGCCAGGGATTCACATCAGCAATGATTCCATAATCCCGAAGAGGCATATAGACTTTTCAGCTAGT